TTATTTGGCCATTAGTTTTAACAGAGGATTGTTACCAATACATGTTGTAATGAAATTAATTATTATATTATAAAGCACATTTTACAACAACTCTTAAACTAACATAACTGCCCTAAGTGAAGAAATATTAATATAGAAAGCACAAAGAAATTCACTTTTACATGGATACCCACTTCCGCCCCAGCCCGGGGTTGAACTCTCGACCTTCGGAATCTGTCTCCTAGCAGTGCAGGAACAGCGCGCTAGACCGCTCGGCTATCTAGGCAAGTCAATAAAACTAGCTTTCGATGCCGATGGAATTCTCGCGGCGCTGCCCTACACTACACGGTCATTGAGAATAGAAGTGAGATACAGTTATTTGGACATTAGTTTTAACAGAGGATTATTACCAATACATGTTGTAATGAAATTAATTATTATATTATAAAGCACATTTTACAACAACTCTTAAACTAACATAACTGCCCTAAGTGAAGAAATATTAATATAGAAAGCACAAAGAAATTCACTTTTACATGGATACCCACTTCCGCCCCAGCCCGGGGTTGAACTCTCGACCTTCGGAATCTGTCTCCTAGCAGTGCAGGAACAGCGCGCTAGACCGCTCGGCTATCTAGGCAAGTCAATAAAACTTGCTTTCGATGCCGATGGAATTCTCGCGGCGCTGCCCTACACTACACGGTCATTGAGAATAGAAGTGAGATACAGTTATTTGGACATTAGTTTTAACAGAGGATTGTTACCAATACATGTTGTAATGAAATTAATTATTATATTATAAAGCACATTTTACAACAACTCTTAAACTAACATAACTGCCCTAAGTGAAGAAATATTAATATAGAAAGCACAAAGAAATTCACTTTTACATGGATACCCACTTCCGCCCCAGCCCGGGGTTGAACTCTCGACCTTCGGAATCTGTCTCCTAGCAGTGCAGGAACAGCGCGCTAGACCGCTCGGCTATCTAGGCAAGTCAATACCGTAAATCTGGAAATTTTTACGTCGATTTTATTTTGCGAATTCGGGTCAAAATGGGGTTGATTAATTTTTACGTTGCAAAATTTTGCGAATTACCACTACTTTGTTTACATTTCTTATTGGTAATTAATTTTTAAGAAAAATATTTTTGCGAATGCAATGAACTCGCAAATTTGCTAAAAATTTATCTACAGCAAAAATTTCCAGATTTACGGTAAAACTTGCTTTCGATGCCGATGGAATTCTCGCGGCGCTGCCCTACACTACACGGTCATTGAGAATAGAAGTGAGATACAGTTATTTGGACATTAGTTTTAACAGAGGATTGTTACCAATACATGTTGTAATGAAATTAATTATTATATTATAAAGCACATTTTACAACAACTCTTAAACTAACATAACTGCCCTAAGTGAAGAAATATTAATATAGAAAGCACAAAGATAATATATATATATATATATATATATATATATATATATATATATATATATATATATATATATATATATATATATATATATATATATGTTTAACTTTTGGATGACCTTATAGCTTCCATAATCAAGTCTAATTTCTTATTAATACATTATAATGGCAAGCTAAGGCAGGCATTAGTTACGCAGCATATCCTATATACACTTACAATGTGATATATATTATCATTTTTAGAGTCAGAAATGTTTTGAAGAAGGGGGGTATGGAGACATCAGCAATTAGGTCAGGGGCCCGCGTAAAATTCGGGGGTTACTGTCCACTCATAACACAACATCACGAGTCAGTCATAAGGTTCCGTATACACGTACACGTATTTGTCTTTGGTTTTTTGAGTAAAACAATACAAATCAATTGCATCGTTTATAATTAAACGAACTATAATCAAAGACACAACCCCTCGAAAAAAACAAAACTAGTTTGCTGTTTTTCAATGAAATATTTATCATACACACTTTAAACAAACTTGATCGACTCGATTTTATATGCCATACTTCCTATTACTTACATATATCAACTTTAGAGTTTTTAACTCGTTATAACGAGAAAATTAACTCGTTATAACGAGATAATTAACTCGTTATAACGAGATAACCAAGTCGTTATAACGAGATAACTAACTCGTTATAACGAGATAACTAAGTTGTTATATCGAGATAATTAACTCGTTATAACGAGATAACTAACTCGTTATAACGAGATCATTAACTCGTTATAACGAGATAATTAACTCGTTATAACGAGTTAATTTTTTTTATCTTCTCAGAAATGAGCCTATCCGGCTTTCGTAAGTCATGATTATGTACAGGACAAGAATTTGCTCACACAAACACACCCTTCCTCTCACACACAAAGAAACCAGAACAAATGTCCTATTAGGGCTCAATGATTGTCCTACAATTGATATGGTCCTAATTTAATCAACTTGGCCATTTCCATGTCCATAATTTAATCAACTTAGCCATTCTACTTTTGAGTGCAATATAGTCATAGGGATGTCCCAGTTGTCTACTACTTCTCTGAAGACAATGGTTCTATTCCATTTCCTGAAATGAAATTTTGTCTCTCATTGCCTCGTGTCGAATTTTCTATGAAACGATATAATTAAAAGTGAAAAGTGATTTTCTCAAATCATGTGTGAAAATTCACCGATAGACAACCCTATTAACTACATTTTTTAAGCCATCAATATTTTTTATGGTTAAAGTTACCATCAATAACTTCTGTGCTAAGTACCAATTTGGAACACATCTATTATTAAGCTGTAATATCGACAGTTTACACTTTATTATCTACTTACCAGGCGTGTTGTTTTACATGATATATTATCCGTCTTCCTACTACAATGTACATGTAATTTGGATGCGAGGTTTGCATTCATTTGAAACTGGCTACGAAATTTGGTAAAAATACGAAAAATTCAAAATTTATGTACATGGAACTGATATCTTCCTTTACTAACTCCAGTAAAGTCGTAAGTATATGTTTACCTTTAATTTTATAATTATTATGAATTAATTTGTCTACATGCAGCAACTTGTTTATTTAAGTGTAAAATATTGAGAGCAATTCTATAACTTTAGTATGCGTATTAATACGTACACTCCCCAGATAAATGTTGAAAATTTCTCCTATGGGGGTATTCTTAGAGATTATATTGTGATCATGAGTTCTAAGAGATTAATTGCAATCTTTTGTTGAATACATAGGACCAACTTACAAATCTGTCCCTGTTTGACATGTCTTTTGTATACCTGTAGTACATCATTTACTGTCAAATGAATTTCAATTCACAAGTTCCATTACCAGAAAGAGTAACGCAAACACTCGGGCACTCTCTAAACAGATACTTGTAATCTCAGACACCGATGTGATAATTAAACTACTTTATTCGGTAAGTTCGGGATAAATAAACACCTGTTAAGACGAGAATTTACATTTATTGTCGTCTTTATATCTCTGTTACACGAAGTCCTTGTGTTTTCTTTAGCAAGCTGAGAATTAATCAAACAAGAAACCCATCAAAACACCCTTGGATTGCAAAATGCTTTCCTTGCCATTCTAAACAAGATAAAATATGGCATATCTGTCAAGGATATATATTTTCATTTTTTAAGGACTCTTTTAATGGAATACCAACGTACCAGAGCATCGAATCTAGCATACAGGTGGTGTACTTTTCCATTTCAAATAAAAAGATAATAGAAGAAACATTTATCTTGAAGTGCATTCGTACTTCAAAGTTTCACCCATTTTCAATTTATCCTTTCTGTTATATATCAATAAACAGTGTAGTTCTGTATCATGATCTATGAACAATACACCGCCTCGGCATGGATTCATCTAGTTACGGAACTAAAAAGCGATAAACGTTTTCAAATTTTTCCAAAGAATGAAGATGCTTGTAAATAAATAAATGATAAAAATTACGCATCAATACATTGTTGTCGCCTCTGTCTTTGAAACTGACAAACTGTTTTAGTTTCTATAGTGCAGAGGAACAATATGACATTTGAAAAGACTGGTTCAGTTATACTTCCGCAATCACATCGAACGCTCTTTTGTTAAATTGTTGATGTGTTTTCCAATAAAGTACAATTCAAGTACGAATACACTAGGTGGTGAAGAATTCCATACCATAAATGATTTACTTAAACGATGACAAAAACGACACAATACTGCGAAATGAAATGTATTTTAAACTTATTTAAACACAGAATCAAAATAAGGGTACATGGTATGCCTTTGAAGCATTTTATGACCTTGTTGAACATGTGTTCTCACAGAACGGTACATAGCTCTGGGTATGCTAGAGTGGGGTTAAACACTGCAGTAGGGGTATGTGATGACATCACTACAATGTGGTGGGTAAACCGATCCTATACCTACAGATCGATAGGGAACTGGAATTGGTCCAATCAGTACCCGTATCTCATATCGTCAGTTTAAAAATGTTAAGACAAATGAATTATTGGACCGAAAAGACATTAACACGGGTGCTTCTAATTGATGAAGACTGTGGAGATTTTACAAGATAGTTATTCTAACGTTTTTGTCTTTGATAAGAGTAGCTGTAACATTAAAAATCCGTCGGTCATATAATTCATTTAGGGGGCTGTTTCGACCCAGGTATTAATGTTTTTATGTCAATTGCAATTAACCTATCTAAGGAGGGTTTTTGACACTGATACAAAGGATTTTATATATTTAAAGATTTCTAGCCAAATAAAAAGAAGGATTTAGTTTTCACTTTGCTCTTTAAGACAACATATCAAATGTTTTATGAATGGAAAAAGAACATAAGTAAAGTTCACTTTATTTAAGTGTTTGGAAAATGGAAATGTTCTAGAATGAAAGCAACTCCGAGCCGTGGCTCAAAAACCAATCACTTTTATTGATCACCTTAAATGGCAAAATCGTTGACCTCAAATGGCATGCAATAAATAATAGTCCAATATTTAGATTGTATCAGAACGGTTACTTAACATTACATACGAGATTATTTCAAGTCGAGTTAAATAAATACAGGCAGAAGTATGCTGTGTATTGCTAATCAAAGGATTGGGGCCTGTCCTTAAATGCAAGATCGTTTTTAAAAATTGAGATTTAAAAACAATTGCCTATCGATTTTAAAGAGAATCATTGTATTCTTAGAACTTAAGGAGTAAACAAATTTTCGTGTCATTCTCTATCGCTCTTTGGTGTACGGTGGCCGTGTGCGCTACCCTTTGCGACCCCCCCAAAAAGTGCCTCCCCTAAAGAAACTCAATCACTCCGGCGTAGCCGAAACGATTGAAGTGTGGAAAATACAATAATCCTTAGACAAGTCGCAGGATTGACCCAAGTTAAGACAAACACTCGGATTAAAATTTACTTACGTGTATTGCACACCCGCAGTGAAAAGTAAAATCGCATACGCTCTAATCTGCAAGCGCATATAAGGGCTACTGTAAGATGGTGTACTGACAAGAATAAGGGAAAATGAGTTACAGGAAAGAAGATTCGCTTCTTTTGGAGAGTTTCTCTGAAAAACACAGACACGCAGACTTTGTAAGTACAGCAAATTAATATATGCTACCAAAGAGATAAAATTGCGCAGATTTTCCGCCTTTATTATCTAAAATTGATTTTGATTCATAATTGCAACCTGGGTAATGTCATGATCGGTAAAATATTCAGTGCACAAAATAGCAGGTGTAAGTATATTCAAGAAGTAAAATCCTTTTCTTATTTAATTTTAAATACCGTGTAATGCTATAAACTATACATTAACTGTTTAGCGGACTTAAAATCACAAAATATCCCCAAAGGCTTTTTCTGTCAGTTCTGAAGCCTATTTCCTTATTTTGAAATTAAACATAGATTTAATTGCATTTAATGCGACTTCAGACATTTTTTGCCAAGTGTCTTTAGAATACTTTAATTTTCAGTCGTAGATTTTAACTAGTCGTTTTCACAATTTTTCTCCTAGTTTCACACTGGTAAGAAATTAAGTTACTTCAGGCAATTTTAGTATCACACATATATTTATATTTACTAAGTAAACATATATTGCCTAAGAAATTAAAAGGACTTGTCCATGTATTGTTAATATTTATATATAAATATTTATCTTTCACTTAGCACATCGATTGTAAGTTTTGTTCCTAATTCCGGCCTACTCTGACTTTTTAAACAAAACTGTTTGAAAATATGGAGAACATATACACTTGCTTCAAAAGCACCAAGTCCCATTTTTTTTTTCACTAATTAAATCAGATAGGACACACAACAATTGTTAGCCGGTACCCCATTGTTATAGGGATTTTAGTGTATTGGATCGAGGTATTGAAAACTATTCTTGCATGTACTCCATATTCGGATCGTGATAGCCACGACTACCTATTAAAATTAATTTTCAATGCGAAATCATTCATGAGCACTAAATGTATGAATTGTTACGCCAGGCAAATTTTGTTTGAGCTTTCTTCTCAATGACAAGTTCTAATGAGTGCCTGGATTATTGAAGGACGATTCCTTATTCGAAAGTGCCAAATAAAAAAATCAATGGTCCCTAAATTCTTGAATCTGTCTTTTATGTTCTTATTCGTACCACTCAAACGAACATAAAAAATTTATAAAATAAACACAAACACGTATATTAGGATGTGAAGCGCTCTGATAGTGCAGTTTACTTATAATACACAGATTGTTACAAATACATATCAATCTTCTTTAATTGTCTTCCTTTCTACAAAATAAAACAAGATTTTTAAATATAAAATCTTTTTAAAACAAGTAAAGCAAGGGCGGGTGGATGGGGATTCAGTTATATGCACTAAAAAGAGCCTTCGAATGGCTTTAGAATATTCTGTGCTAACAGCGGTCAGTTAAAACCCGTGCAATGAATATTTAAATGTCACCTGACAAGGTGACCAGCATTACAGCCAATAGATTACAGATATAAATAAACACGAACACGTGTTATTAGCAACATTGATAAATACATTTATATCACACTTTTTGTTTCCTGAATTCGTGTGCGTATTTTTCCAGAAACCTTGTAAGTCAATAGACGCTTTTTTGTTGGTCGAAATAAAAACTTTTTTTTTGGTGAAAATAATAAAACATCTTAGCAGATATCACATTACACTCGTCGAGTGGGTAGTTCTACTGAGCCTTTTTATTTGATTCAAATCAAATTAATCAGATCGTTTATTCAAGCTACAGCTTCGGATAATACAGAAGCAAATAATCGAATAATAAATATTGGCGAAGTTTGGAAGAGCAAGTGCTACGATAGAATTAAGTATTTTATTCTGAAGAAAATGCACTCAGAGAGATTGATTAGGAAATATAGGTACCTGCTGTTTTCTCGGTAGAAGCTCTGGTATCTTATTTACGTAAAGCTTACAATGGTCAAAGGTCCGGGTTTGTTACAAATCCTCAGACCATCATGAAAGGAAATCGATGTTGTCATTACGGAAAAATGGTAGCATTGGAGACAAAAGCGTTTTATATCAATGCTGTTAAGGCATTAATGCTGTTAATCAGTGTAGAATGACATTTGCATTTTCGGTAAGCTAGAAAAAATCGAAATATGAAAGATTGGTCCCCCAATAAAACCCTCGGAAAATGTCACATCATGCGGTTCATCAACCAACCTCTTTCACTGAATCATGATATGTATACACTTTCAGTGGCTTTTCAAGCGCGCCCCCCCCCTAAAATTATCAAAATTAACGTAAATCACAGTTTTGTCTAGAAAATGTAAATATGTATACTTGGTAGACCTCATTTTTTCCCCTATAAAATCTCTAAAATCCAGGAGCTTCCCCTGGGCCCCCACCAGGGCTTTGCCCTGGACCCACTTGGGGCCTCAAGGCGGCCCCCAGACCCCTTGCCTACTTTTGGCGCCCCCTCTAATTTCAATTCTTGGATCCGCGCTTGACTTTTCAAGAAAATCACAGACAACTATAAGACCCCAAATGAAACCCCCCTCCCTCGAAACAACCTGATTTTAAAGTTTGGTATGTATCTGTTAAAGTTAGAACCTTTTCTGAATGTGGATAACTGTGAAATGACCACATTCCTTTCCCTAGGTCACGATTTAAAACAGTAGATCCAAATGCACCTGGGGAACCTTACAAACAAAACAATTGTATATGTACCCTTACTTTTGTATGTCTTTGTGTTCATCAACATGTACCTTTACGATTTAGTGCAAGACATTAATCAAGTGCTTGCGCAAACAATGTAAGTAAAAAGCAAATACACACTCGTAAAAGAGAAAGGGAAACTAGTAAACTTGTGATAAAAAAATATAGTGCATTTTACGGAAAAGGAATTTTTCCTATCAGAAGTTCCGTAAATTCTTGCAAGAAAAACATATCGTTGATAAAAGGGTGTAAATATGTCAGGTTTCTCAACACTTCGGCCTGATTTCAATAAAACAAACTTGTATTTGAATTAAGTAGTTACATATAGCAGGTGAACGAATGCAATGTCTTTGAAGAAACGTACTAAAAACTATCGCTGACAGTACGTTGCGGGTATGCTTTCTGGCATTGGTCAAGATTTCTAATTACAATACTTGAGCAGACCGTTTTTCGTCCAATTGTGTTCATGGTCGAAACATACAGAAACAAAACAAGTATCCGCTTGCCATTCCCGCCAAGTCATCAAAACTCTGGAATTTTTCGAGTAAAGAGATTAAAACGGAAATCCCTGTAAAAATGCAACACATCATAATACCAGAAATTTTAATTCAACTTCTCAGGTGACAGAAACTAATCAATACAGTATTAAAGATTAACGTAGAAACACATACAGACTACAAACGAAATCGATTGACTTCATTAAACCTTTCCTTTATAGTACCTATAAACTGCAGATTTATTTTAATTAATACCTCGATGTGTATTCATGCCTCTTCTTTTGTAAACCGCCATGTAATTACGAGGAAGAAGATTTAATACACCAATATTTGTAAATTATTAAGATTTATAAGCGTATTTAGCCTACTTTTGAAAATTTTACTCAAAAGAGCGCCCTAACGATAGAAATAGCTATAAAGGACACAATCAAAGGCAATGCACTAGACCCAACTTTTCTGTTTGCTGAAGGTGAAAGTTTTCAAAAGGTGACGGCCCTTTCTGAGGTAGATTTTGAATGGGTCTTGGTCTATCAATCGCTGACATCAATAATCCTTTAAATCCGGTTGGTCTCGAACCAAAATTAATCCGAAACAAAATAAATTAGTTGATCATTTATTTACCAGGTTGTGTTTTCGGAATAGCCATGGACGGTGTGGCGGCGCAAATTTTTCTGCTGGTAAACATTTCAATGATGTCGTATGCTTCCTAATCATTTGCAATATCATTTGAAGTAATATTTTTTTTTCATTCATTCATATTTATTATGTCTTTTATGTTTATGCAATGGAATAATAAAGGCTTATTCTTTTGGTAAACCGCATTTAGAGGTTTGGCTACAATACGTAGCGGGTATTTTAATTTTGATTAGTAGTAAATCATTTGGAAGTTTTCAAGATTGTTGTTCATGTTCATTGCCGTTCATGTGTTGTTGCATTATATTAATTCCATTTAACACATTTGCTTATTTTTCATTTTGCCTTTTCTCATCTTCTAACACACTTTACAATCAAAATTACAAGTATCTTATTCGCAATGCCTTTAGAACAGAACTATTTGTTGGTCGTTTGTTTTATCTCACGACAATGGTATTGTAGGAAAGGGAACTAACGGAGCATTTCCGAAAGCTTGGTTTCTACCGAGAGGTCCCTACCCCTGATTTACTGCGCGAAGCCCAGCAGGTGTACCACACCCTTGACTGGCCCCAGCAGTTTGATGACGATGGAGATCCGCTCCCCGGTCCACCCTCCTCATCAAGAGATGAGATTCTGAATCCAGATGAGGTCAAGGAATTGGACGAACATGCTTTGCAGGTATGTACATTGGATAATATTTTGTTGTTACATAAAAGCAATGGATTCTTTGCAAAGAACAGTTGTAAACTTAAAACGTCTTTCTTTACCTTACTGCAGACTCCAACTACCTACCTTGGACAACATCTCCGTTACTTGGTGGAATACCTTATTCGCCCAGCCATCAGTGACGTCCACAAAGCCAGAGTCCTCACAAGGTAAAGACGATCAGAACTTTGTAAACCTTTTCATCAAATAACTTTGAGTTATGTTACGTGTAAATATATTCATCTTTGGTTATTTCAGATGGCTTGGACGCTGTATGGATGAAGACTACATCAAATACCTGCCGAGAACAGAGTGGAGTCACCCTGAATCTGTGGCGGGATATGTGTGGAAATTACGAAAGAGACAGATTGACTACGACGAATTCTTCCAGACACTTTGCACGTAAGTGGCCATGGTGCATCTCTAGACAGTGGATAATTTTAAGCCTTGCAAGTTGCTACATGATTGGTGCGTATTGCTTTCGTAAATGAGATCTTACACTTTTTTCTACCATATAGGTATGCAGGTTTGAAAGCCAAGAATGTTGATGGGTGTGTCAGGAATACGATCAAATACGAAGTGGGCAAAGATTTCATGGAGCAGAGGAAAAGCTGGACTGCAGTGCTTTTGGACGGTAATTGGCGTTTATTGGACGTGCGCTGGATCTGCGAAGCTGCTTATGGAGTGGCAAAAACCAACTGGAGACTAATTGAAGACGAAAAGGGGAAAGTAGATACCAGCAAAGCCATCAAAGAAAACAGAAACACGTTCAAAACACAGTGTCGTTTCAGAGAGTTCTATTTTCTGACAGACCCGGAAATATTTATTTACGATCATTTTCCAGATGATTCTAAATGGCAGTTGTTGGCAAGAAATGTTTCATACAAAGAAGCAAAAGAAATGGCAGCTTTACGTGCAGACTTTTTCAGAAATAAAATGGTACTGCGAACTCATCCAAAATGCATTACAGAAAGCGATGACGGCATTGTAAAACTGAACATAGGGTTGCAAGAAGACACACGAATGTCTTTCGTCTACAAACTATACAGATCGAAAAATAGTAAAATGCCAATAGACCCGTCCAGAAAAGAGCTGGATAGATACGTCTTCATGGAGAGAGATATTGACGAGTGTGAAGTTAGGTCGGAGATACGATGCCCTGCTGAAGGAGAGTACCTGTTTGAATTACACGGGAGTCAGAATATCGAATCTTGCCACGCCTTGCTGGTGACGTACTTCATCAGATGTACTGGTATTAAGGGTGTGATAACTCCATTGCCACCCAACATTAGACAAGAGTGGGGGCCAGGAGAGGACACGAGAGATATGGGAATGGTACCGGTTACTCACAGAAAGGGACAGGTGGAAGCAGATGATGGTGAAACGGAAATTACGTTTACTCTGGAAAAGGATCTGGAATTCAAACACGATCTTGTCAAAGGTGACCAGGATATCTCAGTCACGGATGGTCACGTGGTACATACGATCGAAAATGGGAAAATGAACATCAGCTTAAGGCTGCCATCGCCTGGAGAGTATGCTTTGAACGTAATGGCAAAAGAGAAATTCAAGAAGACAAGATTTGCCCCGGCTTGCAGCTATCTTGTTAGCTGCGATGATGAGCCATTACAGACCAAACCCTTACCAAACATTGATGGACGGCATATTGGTACTCATGAAAAATTCCACGAACTTGGATTCAAAGAAGACAATGCATGGACGTCCTACATTAATAATCTCGTCACTGGAGAATTCTCTATGCAGATTCACAAACCCCATGATATATTTGTTATGGCATCTTTAGAGCTAGAGGAAGGAGACAAGTCTGAAACTTTTGACAATTACGTTGTCTGTGATACACAAGATAATAAGGTCAAGGTTACTGCTATCTTCCCCAAGAGTGGTACCTACAAACTGACGCTCTATGCCAGACTTGACACCGTCCAAGATGATAACAAATACATTACTATCTACACCAAAATCATCGAAGTTGTTTTGCCCACTTTGGCAGGAATGCCGTCGCCAATTCAATCCAGCATTCCAGACTGGTGTCATGGTTACCACCTAAAAGAGCCCAGAAGCATGTTTCTACCATCAGGAGAGATGACAAAAATCTCAGTCTCTGTCCCAGAGGCCCATACCATAAAAGTCAAAGGTCACCCTGAATGTCATCTCAAGCAGAATGAGGAGGGGTATTGGGAGGGATATTTAAAGACAGGACCACCCAGGAGTACAGTGGATCTTCTTGCCAGTGAATCATTACATGGTCAGCCATTTAAACAGGTAATGAACTCTAATATCCCATCAAGGAAAAGAAAGATTTTGTGTGGAGTACATAGATAATACATGTATCTAATTAGGAAGAGAAAAAAATTGTTGAGGGCATTGATTGTCACTATCTAACATAATCCCTTTGCAGGTTGTTTCAAAAGAGGAATTGTTACAAATAGAAGTTGAACAAGAGGGGCTCTTTAAAAGGGCTTTAGATGAACTAGAATCTCTTGAAGAGGAGAGTAAGTAGAATTACATACAGATGCTACTTAAAATATTTTGATACACTGCAGGTAACAACAGAGATTAAAGTTTGTAATTCCTTGGTATTTCAGAATATGCCAGACTGCTTTCTCGACTGAAACAAGCAGTAAAAGACAGGAACAGACAGAAACTACAGAAGCTGTTGTACAGAGCCAAGGAGTTGAAACCTGACAAAGTGGATGTGGAGATAGTCAGAGCTGAGAGGGTGCTGAGGGAACTGGTGGACCTAGAAGGTGAGTGGATAATAAGATTCTTTATAATTAACTATAATGGGAAAGAAACTGGAGATAGGGATATTGGCCCCATTTATAACATCCCTCAAAAGTAGAAAGAAATTCAACCATGTCCTTCCAGTTAATGCTTTTTCCACTAGAACAATGCAGTCTGAGAAATTTAACCATATCCATTCCACTAGAGCAATGTTTGATGCAGTATCAGCAACAGCCATACCTTGTTTAATTTTTTTGTATATACCAAGAGATCGAAATGCCCCTCCATTTTTCAACTATTTTACCTTGCTGCTGTGATATTGTATGATAAAACCTTAATTACCTGTTTTCCACCCTTCTACCCATTAACACAGAAAAAGACATAGCTAGAAAGGAGTTGAGAAAGGCCACCAGAATGTGTGATATACCTTCCTTGGAGGCAGTACTTCAAAAGGTAAAACGACTCAGACTTCCAGAAGAAGATGGAGATATAACTGCAGCAGAAGAGGTCCTACAGTCTCTCCGAGGTACTATACACGGTCACAAATAACAGGTCTTTACTGGTACTGTCTATCTCTTACTGTTTTACATCACTATTTTGTTATAATAAAAGACTAGCAGAGTGAATATTCTCAGTTCTCTTTTCCTGATCTTAGAAATAGCATGCTTTTGAATGTATAGACTTTCTACACTGTGACCAAACTTTGACTTTTTCTCACTGTTTAAGTAACTGTTTGTAGTGTTAAGTTCACTAACACTTGTGTGTTTCATTCACTAAGAAAAGCAAGATGCTGCATTAGGAAAGACTCGTGACAAGTCACAACAAACAACTGAAACACCTACTCCATATTTTTATGGCAATCACAGTGGTGTGCATATTTATGTAATGCCTGATGGTCGCGTTCAGCATTCTGAAATTGGTAAGAACGCGCGCAAAAAAAATATTTTATAGTTTCTTTCGAATCCCTTAACTTAAACCATAGATGTTAAATGAAGCCCATTGTTCTAATTTCAGCTCCTGACAACAGTGTCCTGCAGTCCAGTCGTTTGACAAGAGATGCTGATGTTCAAACTCTGGACAGTTCAGCAGATGAGGAGATCAAAGAAGATTTCTCTTATCTAGCAATGGGTAAAACTCTAATTCTCAGTACTTTGGGATTCTTTTATCTGTTCAACAGCAAAAAATCCATGTTACTGTGTATTTACGTGAACAAGTGACCTGTTTTGTTGCAGATTCCTCAACTCCCAGAAAGACAAGGAAAACAGACACCTCTAAGGTTCCGGAACTTCTGCGCCAGCATCTGAAGAAACGTCACCTAATGGAGGATGAAATTGATGCAGAGGATATTGAGCCAACTGCTTTGGGTGCTTTATCTATGATTGATCAAGAGGAAAATGGAGACAGATGTAAGCACTAAAATTTTTGATAAAATCTAATGAAAGAATAAATCTTTCTAATGGTTAGATTGTATGTAATTTTTCTTTCTTTTTCTTTTCTCCTAGCATACACAAGCCGTGGGGGATCTCGTTCTTGGAAATCTCGAACAATGGAAGTTTTCAAGAAATACTGGCATGTAATGAAAGAGAAATCTGAGCTGACGCGTCAAACACTTAACGATGATATTGAAAACGAGGTCCAGAGACTGAAGCATATCAACCAAATGTGTCGGAAGATGTCCCGTGCAGCTCGCCGCATTGGTATGAATTACAACAGTCTGATAGATAGTGAGCAGATGTTCCATGACATCCTGAATGAACCAAATGACCAAAACGATAGTCTGACGGAGGACTTGTGCAATACATCTGCTCTACAGCAAGATGTCATCATAGTAGAGGAAGGCCTCAAATGTATGTATAGTGTTTTTAAATCTTGACTGATCTTGGAAACAGGTGAGGTGAGTTGTCTTTGATGTTCTTCATTTGTCTCTTTTAGCTGCATTTGAGGAATTTGTCAAGAGAATGGATGAGCTCTGTGCAGAACTTGTCATCAAGGCAGAAAACACTGCAAAAGAGCTGGAAAGAACTAGGTAAGTGTAATTTCAGCAATAGTCTTTCTAACCAATCAAAGTCTTCCATTTTGCCACATGACTTTTTAAAATTTCAAATCTTGAAATGAGGTCACACTTCTTTAATTTTCAGGCTTGAGATGGCCACAGAGGATATAATGACCACAAGCTCTAAGAGTTCACTGAGAAGTGATTCTGGTGTGGGGGGATCTACTGACAGGGACCATCCTGACTATGTCAAGACTTCATTTTATGCAGCTAAAAATACTATTCTAGAGGACTTAAAATCAACCAATGCCTCTACTGTAAGGATATTTCATATTTCTAGCCTAAAAGTATAATGATACAGCAAATTAAGCAATTTGCTAATAATGTCTTTGGATGAATTTCTCCATACATAATATTTTGAATCAGAAATACATACATGTATAAAGATTTGATTCAAAGTGACTTTTTTTTTAAATTTTGACAGGAGGAAGACATCAGACGGCAACTGTCAGCCTTACAGAAACAAATGGCAGACTATCACCATGGTAACACATCATCTCATGTTGGCAACCATTCTGGTAACCATTCAGGGCTATTCTCAAATTCTTGGAAACTCTGAAGCTCGAACAAAAAAAACATATCTGATATCTTAGGTTATTTTTACCTTTTCATCCATGTGAATTGCTTGTTTGATCAATTTTAAATCATTGACATTCCTTCTGAATTTTGGATAAAATGTGTATATAAACTTAACAATTTTACAGTACTGTGATATTATATTATCTGTGATTCACCATTTGTGATGTTGATATTTTAATCAATTTTCTGTAGAATTAGGATAAAAGTATGGTTTGCAAAGATGTGATATTTTTAAAATTCTAAACACAGCTAATTATTTACATATAGTTAGTACTTTTTGTCATTTGCAAATACATTACAACATTTCACAATACCTTTTTAATTTTTTTAACTTTCTTTTACCTTTCACAATTACATTGTAGCATGGTTTAATATATTATTTTTTACTGTAATTCATTGACAAAGATAATGTTTATTATTGAAATAAGATACATGCTATTGTACATGTAAATAAAATTTAAGGTTTAAAGTGATTTCTTTATTTACTGACCGCTGTGTGTTTGCAATAGAGGTCTCATTGTTATTTTACTATTTTGCATCCCATTTAATGTTGAATTTTTGTTATCAGATCTTTTATCATTGTTAATTTTGTTGTTTTTTGTGCTACAGAAAAATAAAGTATATTTATTGAAACTTGTTTTCGTTGTCAAATTTCCAATTACCAATCATTTAAAAATAACAGAGTTATTAAGTTTCAGTATTTATTACTGGATATTTATCTTTAAATGAAACAATTTTACATTGTTGATTGGTTACTGGAGCTGTTTCTTCCAAACTGGATAATGACAGGTTTACCTTTCAAGTTGTAACCATTCACACACTCCATGGCATGTGATGCTGTAGCAATGTCTATAAAAGATGAAGAGAAATGTACACTTTACACACTACATATCTCTTTAAAACAGTCAATCTGAAGACATTGACAGGCTTGTATTTTGAGTTGTATTTAACTTGATTTAACAAGTATTTACACATTTTATATATTTCTATATGGCTTTTATCTATTGGTCTGGCTGTTGATCTAGTTTTCAATGTACATAGTAGTAGCAGTGAGGATATTTTTAACAGTGGGTTGGTTTGTAAATAAGAACACTTAATTTCACAAGTATGTGTTTGGCTTTTATTTGCTGTTCAAAGCACTAAGCATTTCCTTTATTTTAAAACGAAAACACCAAAAATTAAAATACTTAATGAAAATAAATAAAATCTAAATATTTGTGAAGCTTACCAGGAAAGGTAATAAATGCCTGTCCCTTCATTTTGCCCTTCATTACTCTGTAAGTAAGGGCACCTGATCCCTCTGTCTGGAACTTCTTAAATAATGATTCTAGGTCCAGCTGATGAACTTTCCCTGACAAATTCTTTAAGTAAAGAACCTGAAAAACCAAATTTCACAAGTGTCTTTGTAATCTGTAAGTTGTCAGTTTGTCACCTCATTCATTTGCAACATATATTAATTTTTTTTATTAATTATTAAATTTATGAATGAAACATCAAACATTACATACATTCAAATAATTAGATCTCTATAATTTTGATGGCTTACATTACTAGGATTTCCAGGGTTGTAATTTCCAAACCTTGGTAGCATCTGAATTTCTTCAGTTGTAAGTTTATTTTTCTGAATGTCCTCCATAGAAACCTCTGGTACAGGAGTTAAGGGCCTTGGTGCACATGTTGCCATTTCACCAAATTCCTCTTCGAATTCTTCTTCTGTTTGCTTTTCTTCTAAAACACTACTAGAACTATCCTTCAGTTTATTCTTAGCTTCGTCAACTCCACTTTGTACATCAGAGTTACTGGTTAAGTCTTTTGGTTTGTTTTTTCTTCCTTTGTATCCCTCTGGCTTTCTGATTATATTTTCTAATATTTCTGGAAGATGGTTCATTGGATCTTTTGGTTGAGTAGTCTTCCTTGGATCTTTAACTGTTGTCAATGCTTGAATGACTTTTTTGCTATCATCAGAGTTACATTCTCTGAGAAGTGATCTTTCCAGTTCCATTTCATGTCTTGTCAAAGTTTTCTGTCCATGAATTTTATCCTTTTGATTCAATTCTAACATTTTCTTTTCAATTTTTTCCTCTATTTTCTTCAATTTTTCATTCAGTATTAATGGATTAATACCAAAATTTCTTTTCTTCTGTGGCTACATAAAAAGAAAAACATGCAAAAAAAGTTTATTACATGTACTTGTGATCATTGGGTGTGTAGCTTTATGTTGAAGACAACATGCATATATGATTTACTTCCTAACCTCTCATAGATCTCACAGAAGACCAAGTTGGCTCTCAATTACATACATGTATTAATTCTCCACACTAACACCTTTTTTAGTACATTCAATCAGTAAAGTAATTAAAAAAATAATCTGAAAACATTGAAAATTCAGATTTTGTTTGGTGTATATCCCCTCTTACCTTGTGTGGATCCTCAGCCATCAATTTAATTTGAATCTCCTCCTCTGTTAAGCCACATTTCTTCAGTTCCTCTGTATAGCTATCTAGTTTGTCCACCTCCTGAAACTGGTCCAGAGATGTCAGTCCTGACAGTGAGTTCACTGCCGGGCAGTGGGCTGATGCAGAGGTGAAAGTCCGCTTTTGAGCCAACTGTCTAAATACATGATTTATTTGACCTCACAATTTGTAGTTATATATGAATATTGTGAATTCAGTAGGTATACTTTAAGGATTTCATTCCATGGAAACATAGAAAAACGGATATGGCAAGGTAAATTTGCTGGTCCCTAGAACTTTGCTATTATAACTAAGTTTTATAGTACATGTATATGTCTTGAAAATATGTAATTCCAGTATCTTTCTTTAAATAATTATTTTTAAACTGAAAAAAATTAACATATCATTTAACTTGCAGAATTAAGTTTTACTATCCTTACTGTTGAATGGTGACGTCTTTCTGGAGCTGTTTATCCAGTAGAGTCTTCAGCTGTTTCTGTCCCTCTGTGATGATTTCCTCAGTAGGCGGGGCAATCTCAGGTCTCCACCTCTTCTTTTGTAAGGACACATCCATCTTAATTATCAACTACAATACAAAGTAAATTAAAAAGGTTATTTTGACTAAATTAAAGTAAGTGTTCTGCCAACAAACTATCTGAGGTTCACAACTGAGACATAAACATCACAGGCACTTGTTTGGAAAATAATTTTTTTACCCATTGTATAATAATAACACAAGGTATCTTACTCTGAATTACACAGAGTCCCCCCTCCTCAGAAACGCACTCATTCACACTTCCAGAGGAAATGCAAAACTCTGCTCGCTGTATGGAAAAGTCTAATTCAAACATGAAACAGTATGTGCTAATCCCGCACAGAGATTTTGATTGGATAAAAATCTGATTCTGAAGTTACATCGGAAAAATGTCATAGTGTTTTTATGAAAAATAAGACAAAATCAAATTTCATTTATCCAATGCAATATTTAAAAATCTGGAATTCAATTTTTAAACCCACTCATTTTATAACTTTGCCTGTTTCACAGTTGAAAGTGTAAATGAGTGCATTTCTGAGGAGGGGGTACTCATTGTTAATTCTAAGTTAAATACCTTGTGTTATTATTATACTATGGGTTAAAAATTTATTTCAGAAACAAGTGCCTGTGATATACGTTATCAGCCTAGTTACTTAATCCGGAATGAGCTACCACTGTTTACAAGAATATTCCATAACTTCCTAGTCAATATGTCATTTCTCTAAAAATATATTTTACCCTTCTACTTTTACCAGTGTTTATTCATACATTGAATATAGTAATTTTCGTTAGATGACACTTAGTGCAGTGATATACATTACAGTTAGCCTACTGGTGTCCTCTCTTCGCTGTGCGGCCTTTTTGGTTTTAACTTTTAGTCTGCGATTACCTGCTTCCGTTTCCTTCAACTTGGTAACCTTTCTCAGTCGGTGAACGAGGTTGTGAAAAAACTTCATCCTCTAACCTTCCAGCATGTCGAGTTATGCTTGGAGACAGTTAGGATTAACGTAAGAACTTCATTTAAGTGAAACCATTGTTGAATAATTTTGCAGTTTCTGCTTTAGCATCTTTCGAACAAATGAAATAACTCGAATTAACTCTGTCTTAAAAAAATCTAAAAAAGAATAGATTATTCAGTGTTATCTAAAAATTCAGTGCAAATTAATAGAGTGTGTATATTTTTTGAAACTAATGAATGAACCGAATTTTGATATATTCTTTATATCGACATCTTAAGATTTGAGAGCAGTGTAAATGTGTTAATTTATGTGTTTGTTACCAGTGTTTGCAGTAAATCAGTATATTAGAACCTGTAGTGAGCCTGTACACTACAGTAGCATTGCCTAAGTCCAAAGCTGTGCCTGTAGGTTTCCTAATATGTTTTATGGTGTGACGGTTGGGATGAACGCAGTCAGACCATCAAAAACACACTTGAAACATTGATCATGCAGCTACTTCAAACATCAAGTCGCATGAGACATTTCGACTGGCTGTGACGTCACATGACGTAACAGAGCTCGTTGGAGCTTAATTATGGAGACAGCCGAGCGTCTGGTTGAAACTATAGATTTGGTGCAATTTTTGACAAAAGACTTCGTAGAGTACTGTTAATATATTATATATTTAGCGTATACATTTGGAAATTGACTTTTGAGTAAGTTAGAGTGGATTTGATAAAGCGCATTTCTTCATGTTTTTATTAATGTGTATTTGTGCAAGACATTTAACTTTCGACATGATTTAGTGGTTGTTGCATTCCAGCTTCCACCAAAGCCCCTAAAAAGAATACACAGTCAAATGAAATACATTTACAATATTTTCTGGTTCATTTTAAGATTTTTACAAACTGAAAGCCTTATATTTAATTTAATTAATTATTCGCCATTATTCATCGCATGGATTCCTGATAGCAAAGGAATTCTGGGAAGGTTTCACATTTCTTCTAGTCAATTTGCACATAATTTAAGCAGCTACCTAGATTTGTAAAGAAAACATAAAACTATATTTTGAATTTGTTACCATTTATCAAAATGAATCAAATCAAAAATAACCGTACCAAGACAAATTATACTGTATGAACCTTGAGGGAGGCTTACCATTCTAATTTGCATATAATATTTGAGAGCAACAAAAAAACTGCACTTCATAGAAATGGGGAACATTTTTGTTTGCTTTACTTTTACCAATGTATTCCATTGGAATAGATAACTTTTAGGACGTACTTTTTGGAAAAGTATTTGAGACACACATACAAATAGGAGCTATTTTATAGCATAACCATTTTCTAGCTTTAAAAATTAAGCCTACAAGTTACTCAAATATTCAAATTATTTTAGGGGCGGGGGTGTCTTGAGATCTAATTTTTTAAAGCTTTTAGATAAAATGAGAAAAAGTATGTTGATAATTCGTTCATTTTTAGAACCATATTAACTCAACTTTGCTTATAATTTCAGATATATCCAGTACTCTAATGCCTGTGCAAGGGCTCTTCGAAATAGCCTTAAACCAGAACTGAAAATTGATGCCATGAAAAGGAATAACTCAATAGTTAGGGTCACTAAGTGGGCAGAAGGAAAGCCAGTACCAAGCAGTAAGTGTTAAAATTTATAATGAAATTGTAACAGATGGGAATTAGTAAAATATAGAGTTAACTTTGAAAGGGAACATGATCGTTAAAATGCACCTTTTTTTGTGTGTGAAACACATGTTTAGAAAAGAGTGATTGGATTATAGATTTTAAAGTGTGCTAAGAAATATATTGCCCTGTTATCCCCATTAACACCCTTTTACTATAAAACTATCTTGTGTCCTTCTTTACTTTTTTTTCTAACCTATGATATACTTATATACCAGTTTGTGTGAATAGAAAATGTTGAAGTTAAAAATTCCATATCAAGTTGTATATTCAAATATGTATGCATGTAATATTATGTAGAAAACTTAAGCATTTTACAACATTTGACTTTCTTTTTATAGGTCAACAGGCCAAAGGATCAGGGAGTGGATGACACCCTTAATGCTAGAGTACTGTGATGAAAAACAAACTTTTTGAAATGACTCTGTAGTGAAAGTTACAAAGAGTATAATACCGTCATTAATAAATTCCATATTTTGAAAGTGAAATTCATTCTTTTTATTGTCAAAAATGTGATCATATCTTTTGGATACAGTTATTTTATAGTGGATGCAAGAATTCTTTATGAATACTATAGAATATTAAGCTTTCCTGCCTAAGAGCTAGGGTGAATTAATGAAAACGTAATTTAGCAGAAGTTTGGTCCAAATAGTAAAAAAAATATATATATATTCTTAAGAACACTCTCTCCTGGTGTGTAATAATTATTATTTATTTTGAAAAATCATATATGGTACATGTAATAATATATGATTTTTTAAAATAAATAATTATTACATGCCATGAGCATGCCCCTGTGACCAAACCAACGTACATGTTTGGATTTTGAAAGCAAAAGGAGAAATTGTACATTTCATTATATAATCAGGAAATGCAAAAGACTCCTGTTGCAGAGAGCTTATGATAAAAGCCAGGATCTGTGGCACACCTAATACATGTATATTCAAATGCTGCACCTATCCTTGACTGTTATGTAACATATCAGTGTTAGATGTTTGGCCTTAGAAAAAATTTCCTTCATATAACCATTTTTAGCTCCCCTGAGCTGAAAGCTCAAGAGAGCTTTTCTGTTCACCCATTGTCTGTCTTCTGTCCATTTCACATTTTCAGGAAGCATCCTGGGGTAGTCTACATTCTTAATTTTTCAACTTTTGACCCTGGGGGGTAGAGCAGAACCACAATAAGGAATACAAGTTTTACATTTAAATATATAGGAAAATCTTTTCAAGCCACTGGACCAGAAATGCTGAAAACTTAAGCAGAAGCATCCAAGTTTTACAGGGAAGGGTGGGTTCACAATATATAGAACAGTAGGGCCAGTGTTTCTCAGATGAGCATTCAATATTAGATTCCATATGCTGCCCAAGGATGCTATGTTTAAGGATGCTTACTATGGATATGTACATGCTGCAAATTTCACATATAGATTAGGTGACTGTTTTTGGAACATGCAGATGTATTCATATAAAGTAAATCTTGAGTCCTTCATTGATCTACCATGCATTGATACTACAGTGCAATAAACCTGGCTAATTGAAAAACATTGACTTTGATACCTTCAAGTGTAGTAAACCTTGATACATATTGTTTACAGCTCACCTCATTGCAATTGGTTCCAGGTTAAATTTTTTAAAGCAGATTTCTTTTTATTTATACAAAATTTTATTCTTTTCAGCAGGCAAAGCCTATTTTAGCCCTCTCCCTTTCTTTTCAAGTACTTCCATGCCCTATAGGAGATGCATGGATGCTTCTGGTATTCTGGTATTGTACTTCAGTATACTAGTCATGTTTTCAGATTTCAGCTAAAGAATGACCAGGTTAATGATTAGGAGTATAGGTTCAAGTTGTCAGAGCAGGTCTCATTTCCAAGTAATCATAAGTCCTATATTGACCAAACTTGAATGGGTGATTCATCTAAGGATGTACAATACTGGATTGCATTAAATTGGATGTTGGATCTGACCTACATTTTCCATATGCTGGATTTGACTTACTGTACATTTTCAGATGCTGGATATTGACTTACCAAGCCTAATCAGACACAAATTGCATGCATGTAAATGTTGCATCTAGGGATGTACATTACTTGATTATTAGAAGACCTTTCCCTGGTAAGAGAGATAACTGCAACAAACCTATTTCTATTATTCCTTTATATATTTGCATAAATGCCTTTTTTTGCATTTTGGGATGCTATATTTGTTTGTATTTTACTTATCATATATATTTAGTGTGGGACTTTGCTTTGCTTATAGGCAGCATTTACTGAAGTGAGCACTTCTGTATGTTTGAAACCTGTAAAACTTGGAACAGGAAACCTTGCTATGTAAAGGCATGGTCTTTGATACCCGTCATTGGAGAGCCTTGTGTGTACACTATACAATAAGGTTGCAAAAGCTGTGGCTTATTTTTA